CCCCCCCCCAGATCTGATCCACACCCCCACAGACTCCCCAGTAACACCCCCAGATCTGATCCCCATACCTACAGACACCCCACTAGCGCCCTTAGGCATGGTGCCCCAGATCTCTGGCCTACCTGCGGGTCACTGCGGGGGTAGTTTGTCCACTTGAGGTCTGCCGTCTCCAGTTTGGTGTTCATGAGGGTCTCTGGGGGGAGAGAGAGCGACAGCGCCACACGGTGAGCACATGCCGCAATTACACCCCCCCGCTGCAGTCCTGCACAGCGGGCAGGAGGCCGCGTCTAAGAGGATCAGCGCTGAGCACGTCATGCCTGCAGTCTCTCCCAGCGCACACGCACGCACACACACACTCCACGGCTTCCTCATGCCACAGACGGGAGACTCGAACCCTGCTTCAGGAGGCAGAAATGGAAATTTGAGCCTCCATTCTGCTCTCAGATCTCCATGAGCCTGTCTCGCCAGGTTTTACGAGCTGCAGAAGGTTGTGCAGCAGCTGTGCTGAAGCAGCAGGAGGGCACAAGTGTGAACTGAGCTCCGGCATCCTTCCACACAGGAGAACGGACTCCAGACAGGGCAGGCAGCTCCAGATCTTCAGAGCACCAGAGCCCGCGGCACGCTCCAGAGCATGTCTGTGACTGCCCCCATGAACCAGTTTATTAATGGACAGTGTGTGCGCGCGCATGCGGGCCGGTAAGCATGTGCATCGGTGAGTCTGCGTGTCCTGGGGTCAGTGAATCCATGTGCACATGTGTGTCAGCGAGTCTGCGTGTGCCTGTGTGAACCTGTGGGAGTCTGCATGTTTCGCGTTGTCAAGTGGTGTGTGTGTATGTGTGTCTGTCAGTCAGTCTGTATCTCCTCCTCTCTCTGATTAAGGGTTCTTATTAAATTGCAAGACTGTCACAGACAGGCAGACTCCACATCAAACTGCAACAGCTTCACTGGCAGTGGCCCACAGTGTTGCCAGAGCAATAATTAGTAAAGAGTTCCAGACAGGCTCTCATCACACAGTCACAGTTTGTTCAACAGCTTCTCTTCTCCCAGTTTGGCTGAGCCTAGTATCCTGCTATCTGAACGCAGGTGAATTCTAGCCCTTCCCACTGCCAGGGCACAGCAGAGATGGCTGGGCTGCAATTAACGATCTGGCTTAATTACCAGGAATAGTAAACACCACTTAGGCCCAGGCCTCACAGCCAGAGAGCAGTAATTTGAGGAGCGTGCCTGAGGAGCTGCGTGCACCAGGGGAGTCTCCCGGATCACAGAGCCGGACTGCGTGCTGGACAGGGGTTCAGAGCAGAGCAGAGGGGCACGGCCCACGTCCGAACTGGGGGAGTGAGTCTCTTCAGGCTCAAGCAGGGCAGAGTAGAGGGGGACCCTTCACTAGGGTTGTTGCTGAAAAACTTAAACCAGGGGATACAGGCACAGGAGGCCCTTCTGTCCACCAAGGGTGGTGGGAGTCTGGAACGAGCTGCCCGCCTGTGCTCTCTCTTCAGAAGCAAGTTTGCTTGCATCTTTCAAGACATGGCTGGATCCTCAGATCAGTTAGCTAGCAAGCAATTCATGGTACCATTCCCACTTCTCACTCACCAGCAGATCCCTGTCCACATCTCTGACCACATCCCCAACCCGCCCCCAGATCCCTGCCCGCATCCCCAGATCACTCAGCACCCCCAACCCACCGCCAGATCACTGCCCACACCCCCAACCCACCGCCAGATCCCTGCCCGCATCCCCAGATCACTCAGCACCCCCAACCCACTGCCAGACCACTGCCCGCACCCCGATCCCTGCCCACACCCCTGGCCTGCACCCCGATCCCTGCCCGCACCCCTGGCCTGCACCCCGATCCCTGCCCGCACCCCTGGCCTGCACCCCGATCCCTGCCCGCACCCCTGGCCTGCACCCCGATCCCTGCCCACTCCAGCTGCCCTTCTCTCCAGGTGCTGCGGTCAGCTCAGAGAGGGGCGCCAGGTCTGGGACAGCCAGCCGCTCACAGGGCAGAGACGGCACAGGGCTGGACCAGGCCGGACAGTGCCAGCGCGCTCTGCCTGCTCTCCGCTAGGGGCCTGAGCAGTCTGTGAAGCAGCAGGAAGTCGCCGGCGTGCGCCGGCTGGAAAAAACACAAACCAGGCCGTTTCCCCCAGACCCGAGAGCGCGGACACCTGCGTCTTATTGACTCCAATAGCTCTCCACATTCCAGCGCTGCAGGGAGAGGTGTCAAAACCCTGGACACACACGGGCTGGGACAGCTACGCACACACACCCCGCCCGCACTCTGCGCCCTGTCTACAGCAGTTTGCCATCAGCTCCACAGACCCTGCAGCTACACTCAGCCACAGCGCTGCTGCCGTTTCGGACATGAGCTCTTTCTCGAAATAAGATACAACATGGAGGAGGAGATCTGGAGAGCAGCGCCCCACACCCTAGCACAGCGACCACAGACTACTTGCATCTCCATCACACACTCCACAGACTTCAAGGCTGTGCGCGAAGGTGTCTGTTTTGTGCCAGTTGGCGTCGTGGTTGCGCG